CATATAAATACAAGTTATCAACATATGATTTTTGTACAGCCGCATAGCCCTGATGAGCCGCTTAACCAAAGGCGAGACGCATCGCATAATGGTGGGTGCGTAGGTTCTATATGCGGCTTTCCTTTTCGTTGCCAAACTCAGATCTTTAGGCACGATTAGAAGGAGAAAAAATTGACACGAGTACAATTACAGCTTGTCTACACTAATATAAACGCATGAATTTCAATATAGGTTGTCATGTAAACAAACATATTACAACCTAGCTATAGACTGAAACAATTAAAACGCCCGTTTTATTGTTTAGAATTGGTATTTATTTATGAAAGCAACAACAATAATTTATTAATGCATCGCCTGGTTACTTAAAGCACAACTCTTATTTAAGCCTTTGACAAGGTATTCCGATTGAGTTCGACGATTCAGAAAATCTTTGGCCATTCTCATCCTCAAACTGCTTTGTTGTAACAAGTACGGTTTCGGTTTGGACGATAGATAATCGACCAGCGGGAATATGGAGTTATGCCCTCTTTCCTCTGTTTGATGTACTGTGTTTGGGTACTGACTCCTTGTTTTCATTGTCCGGCCAAAGCATTCATTTCTGTAATTAAGACGGAAATCTCGGAGTGCCAGATAATCAGCACTGACATCCGTAGTATTACAGATTATCGATGGAGCTTTGTCGCCAACAGTTTTTTCCAAATAACTAACAGCGCCAGAGTGAAGCCGACTACCATTGCAATTTGATTCAGGCGGCGATGAAATAGCAAAAGAATTGTGTATTAGGCGTTCATAATTGCAACGCTGTTCTGTAAATTGTAATATCTTTTTGTGCGGGCTCGGGCATATGTCAGTCTTGGTCGTTAGAGGTCGAAGAGGTACGTAGTTACTCGAATCAGCGTCGATCGACTGTGTTGTAAGGGAATTCCGTCTGTCGAAATTATTTAAATTTGTCCGGGAATGGCCTGAACCTTTCCGAGTGTAGCCTTTTTTCGATTTTTGTTTAACAAATGAGCTTTTTGCGACGTGTGACATTCCTTGAATTGAATCGTTAAGCCCGACTCATCGCCTAAAACCATTTCGGAAGGTACTGGTATTAGTTTGGATGTTTACTAACAGTTGTACGACGACTACAGGGTATGTTTTTATAGGAATTTGTTTGGGTAAAGTCTAGTTGCTGTTGTAGCAACACACACACACTTGGAAATTCGTAACTATAGTAACATGTGGCTCTATATAATGACAGGTGTCCAAATTTGCATTTTAAAACTGTTGCAACTGGTCCAAGATTACAGCAGTTTTAAAATGAAAATTTAATAGCATCGATGTAGTATAAATATAAATATAAAGATAAATATAAACAGATCCATTATTCTAATGTAACATCATTTTACATTTGAAAAAAAATAACGCGAAACGAGAGTGGTTTGTCAGCTTTGCCAAGCTCAGATTTGGACATAGAAATTAAAAGCTAACAATTACCCTTTCACACAAAATTGAGCTCATGGTCTGGGATTTAAAAGAACATCAAAAATGGCAAAACCACTGCAGGAAAAAAGTGGATTGCCTCTTCTTCTAAAAACTCCAAGCAAAAAATGTATTAATTGGAAAGTCGCCTAATTTTGACCACAGACTAACTTCGGGTCATGTGGACCATCATTTTCTTTTTTGATATTGTGGGCGTAACAACGGTAAAACATAAAAACAAACTGTTTTCACAACATAGTAGATCGGTTGGCTAAATATATTCCAGGTCAAACATTATATATATTTGTCTATAAAAAATTTATTGCATTATATTTCAAAAAAATCTGAACTGCGAATGAAAATGATTTGGCGGGTAATTCAAATTTTAATTTAAATAAAATTTCAATTTATTGCACTTTTGGGTAACAATGAATCCACAAATGTATGGATTTATGTTTTGAAATAGCCCCAATTTAAGGGTGCCGCCCCATTTGCGGTATTTTAAAGGTCCTTGCTTCATTTTCCAACCGATGCACCTGTAATTTCGCATATAGAGTTTTCGAAGGATAGAATACCTCCTCGCATAATAAATGCGCCCATATTTCGAACTCGTCCGCATGAAAAGGTCCCACTTTTTTATAGTGGTCCACATTACCCGACATTGAATATTTTTTATTTAAAAATATTTATTGGCTTCAAAAATGAATAAACCTTAAAAATCACCGATTGTAATTACAGCGAAACGTATATTGTTGTTAAAGAAAACAAGAAAAGCACATAACTTCTTTATATTCAAGAAAAACAAAGTGTTCGACAATTTTGCAAAAACGTTCACAATAGTCGAAAGTAAATATTAAAATCATACTTTTGCAATCAGAGCTACATTTTCTACTACTACATTTTCAACATTGCAATTATTTATTAAAAACCAAGTTTGATGTTTGTTTTCACTAATTAGGAAAACATTTATCAATGCGGCATTGACATATTTCAAGCATTTTCTTAGACATTAGACGCATGGTCCACATTACCAGAAGTTACTCTAAGGAAGATATTCACCGATTGGATTTATCCTAGTTCAAACGATAGCTATACACTCACCGAGAAACATGCCAAAGTCTAGGTAAACGATTTCATAACAGAGGTTGAAAGACTGCTTAACGCCTAAACAGGAGAAATATTCACGAATCTCTGGGGAATGTGCTGTTAGAACCAGATTTTGAAAGCATTGAGAGTGCTCTAAATTTAAAAATCAGTTATGCACCCTGTAAGGGTGTAGGGTGCTGCAAGAACATATACCTCTTACATCAACCTAGAAAATGTTGGAATTGATCGATAAAACAAAAAGAGCCAGGTTAAAATAGCCATTAAGAAATGATGACAAAACCAACGATTTTTGGACTTTGTAAAATAACAAGATAACACAAACATTGAGTCTATGAGTGTCGTAAGCGACATTGTTTGCTGTTGCATGCAATCAACTGTATCGGTAAAACCTTTTTCTGGATGTTTGTTCGTTTACTCTTTGCAATTTTCTCTTTTTGTACTTACTCTCAGTAACTTCTTCCTGAGTGTTACTGGAAAAGTAATCGAACACAATTAATTTTAATTTATTTTGATTTAATAATCATCTATTTATCAGTTGTTGTGTACAGAAAACACACCCAAAATTATTAGTCCTGATATGAGAGTTGGACGTTTTTTTCACACACAAGAAGCACCCTTGTTTAGCCCTTTAGTCTAAGCGAAGACATTTGTAGGTAGTGTTACAAAAAATACACAAAAAATTTAAATTATTAATAATACATATTTTGATTCAAATAAAAACAATGGGAACATTTTGTTTGTAGATATCCATAAATATTTATTATTAGAGTATAACATTTCAATATATATGTATCGTTTTTCAAATTCTTAATAAATGAATGTCTAAATTGAATGATGACTATATCACAAACCAATTAAAATGTCAAAACTACTAATGATGTAGTATTACAAAACGCAAATAAAAGGGGCTACAAACATGCATGTCGGTCCGTTACATTCACCGAAATATCAATATTATATTGACAAAAAGGTTTATTCATAATAGGTTATCCAAAAGGGGAATTTATTCAAAAAGACAACTCTGTTCCTATATGTTTCTCAATCTTTGTTCATGGAGGAAAGGAAAATAAAATTAACATAAAAAAATTATAAGGTATTTATTATTCTCACTCAAAATTTTAATTTTGTTTTATATTTAATTATTAATTATATTTAATTAAATATATAAATAATAAAGAGTCAATAATAATATAAATAAGTTCGTCCCAAGGTTTATCTAACTAATGTTTTTTTTTTTCATATCAATAACATTTGAAAATATTTCAATTAAATTTGACACAATATTAATGACCTAATAATATGTTAATATACCTTATAAGGTCTACCAGGAGGCGTATACATTATGCATTAGTAGTTTTAACATTTTGAATTTGATACTGTCAAATAAGAGTATATGTGATTTGCATTAGCTTGTATTATTAATAATCAACAACATACACTGAAATAAATTAGATAGAATATAGCTCTGTTGGTTGCAACATTTAGCATAAGTATTCAAAACTGTTCATTTTCCTAATAAAATTTATAATTATGCATATGTCATTGTCATACTATAATTAAATTCGAACAGTATACGGAATATTATATTAAACATTTTCTGATCATGCCACGTTAAAGGCACTTCTATATTCACTTATCCTTCGTACACATTTTTATGATTTTATTCGAAACTTTTCAGTTTAAATTATTATGAAATAATTTGTAATTCGAAAATTCTATTTGTAAATAAAAGCATTTTTTTTAAATTTGGTGTTCACCAAAAATTCAATGTTGTATATTTTTAATACTTACTTAAAGTACAGCGGAAACGATAAGAAATTTTAATACAATGTTGGATTTCCAAATGAATTACAATTGGAATTCTTAAATTACGATTGAAATAAAACGTTGTTCAATGCAAATACAATACAATTATGTTTTATGTCATATTTTATGCGGAAATTTTCATTGAAAAAAAAAACTCGTATCTCTTACGTTGCAAAATAATACTGATTACATACACATTCTTATATATATATATATATATATATATATATTATTTTTTAAACTAGATTTAAATATTGCCACAAAACTGAAACGTACTGTGAAGTGAAACGATCGATGCGTTATATATGTAAGTGTATAAATAATATTAAAGCTTGTGGGGTAAACTGATCGCTGGTCTTTTCCAATATTATAAAACTGAGACTTTGCCATCTGACTAAATGCGATGAAGTACTACATAAAGGGTTATGAGTTAGCAAATAATTATTTTTATATTTGGTACATACTCTAATGTGTAAATGCTATAGTTTGGCTGTAATATAGAGTACTTATAGGCTAAGTACTTTTTATTGAGAACAATTGGATCGAATATGCCGATTTGTGTTTGAATGTTACAGCAAAAATCAGAGAAGTTCCGACACATGACATTTGTAGATACTGTTTGGATGGTCAACCTTTCAGTAGGCAACGTAAGTAAAACTCACGATCTATGGCATCACTAGGTATAGAATTTGACCATTTAAAAATAAGTGAAAGAATTTCCTCGGGCTGCATGTATTCCAAGGCAATGCCCAGGAAACAATTCCATGTGTAGAAGAAGTGACGATTGACATTTTCAACTGTTGTAATGCACTCGCAATTTATGCACGTTAATCTGCCACGATGCAAATCCACAAAGTGCTCGAAACATTTTGCCCAAGCGTTCGGTGAGAAACTTTTCCCCATATCAATGAGTAAGTCCGGCTGTCCATAGTTTAAAATAATTGGCAAGACTTTATCCATATTGTACTCGGCCAAGTACAATTTGGCTAGAATGTCAAATAGGGCTGGGACACGGGTCAAAACATCGAAACATTTGACTTGCTCATTGCGTGACCAGTAGTAGCGCAACAACACTGAACCAAGTTCATGGAACACGCAAGAATTGTCGAATCTCAGCGGGAACATGCAATTGTCACAACGTACAATATCATCCGAGGAATTCAACAAAACGAATCCTTGCGTTATGTAGTCCCTAGAAGCATCGTCCATTTCCCATATTAGCTCGGGGTTCAAATAATGAAAGTACATTTCGTAGCAGTGCCGTTGAGCTTGCTCCGGGTCATCACCATGCTCGACCATTACTTTGGACAGTTTGTCAAGCAATGAGATTAATTCTGGTGCCGAATATTCGTCGAACAATGAACGATAACGTTCGACAAAATTCGTATTACTAAATTTAGAGCTCTTACAAATCAAATACAAGTTGTAAATGGTTTTCTCCTCAGCAGTAATGTGTTGCCCTGTCCCAGAGCCTTTAACTCTATTGCGACAAGATTGAGATGTGCTGGGCGATGGCGAAGACGACGTCTTTCTTGCACGGCACACAATCTCCTCGTCGTTTTCATACATGGCCTTGATATCCTTGAAAGGTAGAGATCGCTCGTTTGCAGGTATCAGATCACTCACTAGTTTCTGTTGTTCTTCGGCAAATATATTAAACTTGTATTTGATAATGTTCTTCCCAAATTTGCCCGTTACCGTTAACAAGGCGTCTTTAAAATGTTTTTCTCCCTTCTGAGCCTTGAGGTTATCACAAAAGGCATTTTCTAACACGTAAATTCCTTGCGGTGAACTTTCCTCTGTGCTTCTTTGCATTGGTATTGCCGATGCACTACAACTTCTGTCGGCAGTTGCGGAACTGCCACCAGAACTGTTATTGTCGCCGCTACTTTCACACTGTGTAATTGCATCGAAAATAACGGACAAGTCATTGAGCAGCTCGTACTGATGCCGATCCATGAGAAAATCTTTTATCTGGTTCAGCAAACCCAATTCGAAGTCCTCCCTTGCCTTGTCGGCAAAGTACTTTACGTTTCGACGCATTAACCACGCACAATCCAGCAATTTATTTTGTCGCACAAGTGAAGATGCCTGTGATTGCAATGTGTTCATTTGCACCGAATACATGGAACCGGTTTGCGTGAATACGACAATTTCGCCCTTTCCAACAACACGACAGTCTACTATTCGTTCAAACTGGTTACACCAAAGAGCAACGCTGGAATTTCGCATATCAAAGACGTACAACCCCAGCTCAGTAAAAGAAACCAAGAAGTCCTGTTTGAGTCTCTGAATTCTGCCGAACTGCAGATTTTGGGGCTGGTAATCAAGCATTTCATCGTTGCCCTCATTATCGCCACAAATATTATCGTTTTCATTGTCAGAATCCTTATGTATTTTGCTTGGTGGACATGCCAAGGCAAACTTAAATTGGTGCGTTTGTAAGACATCACCTTCAAAGTCTACCTCCCAAAAGCGCGAACCGGGTCGGGCACAATAAATTCTAGATGGCTGCTGAGTTTCGTTCGAAGATATAAAGAAACAGGCACCATATGCTCCATCTCTAGGTTTATTTCCAATCTATAAAAGAACGTTAGCTGTGAGGGGATTGCGTTTTATGTACACTTTCATTGCAACATACCTGTTTGTATTCCTCATATTCAGTGTTGCACAAAATACACTTAGTACAGTTCGAAACAAGTAAAAGCGATTCGAAGTCATCAATTTGAACAATGGGCGATTCCAAAAATAGTATCGGATGGATGGACATATTTATAAGTGTGGTCCCCTTGAAAAGATATTTTTATTGTGTGATGTATGTGCAGTATTCGTAGCAGTTGTGAATATACGTACGCAAAAAAAAACGAGTAGGATAAATACGTCACTGATGTGTTTCGGAGAATCTTTTTACAAAATTAAATGATTAACCTTGATTATTGGATTTAACGCTTTAGGGCCCAATGTTGCACACAGACAACTAAATGTTTTGAAACTTATACCAAATACGCAGTAAGTAAACACACATTTTTTATTGCATGTATTTCGAATTGAATATTGACGACACATATCCAAAGAAAACCCCCAACCACTTCTTCATGATATACGCTTTTCAATTAATACTTGATAGCAAATTGTGTGCAGCATCATTTTGTGTATACCGTCAAAATTATTTAATCGTTGTACGAATAGTACCTTCAAAGTAATTTTTGATCTTTGTAAAAAAAGATGCTAAAGAATAATTTAAAGTAATTTTTCTCAAAATTGCATTTACTTTCTTCATATTGAATCTCCCGAAAGCAAGGGTACAGTGACGTTATATGTTGATCATATCCTATTTAAAGGATTGTTGTGTTAAATTTGATCACAGAAAATAGTCCAAAGGGCTCGCGAATAATCAAGGCTCATGAAGTAAAATACATGTATTTTCATTTGATTGATTATTTGCTAGGATTTCCAAAAACAGTTGTCATACGACAAGTTTTTTTTTCGAAATCAATAGTGCCCCAAGTGGGAATGTTTTGGGTTTTACAACTGCGGTCACTGTAACAAAATTTACATAGACAATAATTTATTTTCAACCATTATTACCAAAATTCATGATTCCCCACAATATTAACGTATATAAAGGTCGGGTCAGATGTTGTAAATAGTACTTACAATAAACGTAGACAGGAGCACCAAATTAACTTGACCCTTAGAGTCGCCATAGTAGAATTGCTTTTCATCCTGCGTCCAATGCATACAAGTGACTTGGACGGATGCATCACTGCACAAATTCGTAAAAATCACTTGCGGTACAGATTGTGCCGATAAATTAACGACATACACACACACCACTGAACGTTGGGTCGAGAATCCGACATATTTTTCGTTGGCCGATATTGACAAATGATTCACGGCTCCATGTTTACTTGGAATGAGATGCAAAAATTTGCCCTGACGGTTGAACAAGTATAAGGATCCCGAGGATGCTCCTAGCACAATGTAGTTCTCCGATATATCAAAGCAAGTATACTGTGGGGGATAAAGGGCAGTTTAAATTGGTCATCTTCATCTATATCGATGTTACTGTTAATGACCGTAAAGTACATACCTTGATGCGATTACTGTGCTTCAGAGGTTGGTGTATCGCAAGTGAATAATCAACGAAATTATTTAAGCAGTACAGATTCATTGTGGACGACTTCCAGACCGTACTGGGTCGTCAATTCTATATATTATTTGCTTCTTTGCAATAGTCCAGACTTTGTCTATATTTCCAATATTTTCACAATGACCTACCTAATCCAAAAACGTTTCGAACGCAGCGTATAGGGGAGACAAGAGAGAATAACTGATAAAAAAAAGGAAGACACTCACCAAGTTTACGAATGAGTGTGAAACATAACACCGTGACACTCGTCATGTTTAGAACTAAGTCGAAGAAGAAAAGAAAAAATGGTTTCATTCCATCCGTTTTGCGGGTTGCCACATGTTGCCAAACATTTTGTCATTTCGACGATTTCTTGCAGGACCGACATAAATCAAAAAATCGATTTTGCTGAAAATGTGTTTTAAGTTTTCAATTGACTCACTCCTTATAGGGGGGAGTGGAACTTCTACAGCTTCTCGATCAGAGTGTGTAAGAGATTTTAATCTGAATTTTCTACAAACCATGAAGTATGCACTATTTTTTACTACGACAATCAATTTTCCTTTGTGATATCGAAGAAAATAGTCAAATCTGGTAGAATTGGCACATAACATAAAAAATCATTATCTAAAACATTCGGCGAATAACAAAATATGTTGCAAAGGAATAAATGCCGGGAGCCACTCTTGGATATTGCAGAATGTTGTCGTTGAAAAATTTATTGCACATTGTTCGACACATTTATAAGTAATACAAATCCCAAGTCCCAGTCCACACTGGAGCAATTTCAAGAAACAAATGACATGAAGTTATGATTTCTTAGATTCAGTTACTCCCTTGAATATGTTTTTAAAATTACTCTAGTGGTAATCTTGATTCACGAACTGCAAAATAATTTTGACATATCAATGCACTATAACAAGTGGGTAAAATGTATTCAACTCCGAAGCGCAGAGCACATCAACTTTAAGGGCTAAGCAGAATGCTCGCGTTGAGCCACCCCTTTAAAGGGCTACAAAGAACTCGATACCTCTCAAGTTTGCTATCAAAATACATTATTGTGAATTGACTTCCATTATGAAAACGTAAACAAAGTCGAAATTTTTGACATTAGACTTGAGAAAAACGGCTGTTTTCCAATTTCGATTGCTACCTTGGTGACCTTATTAATAGATCTTGGCTTAGCCCATGGCACAATGAATAGGTAGTCCATTTAGCTCAGCTGATGTCTTGATTAACTGTCAAAGTGGGTAATTTCTACTTGAAGTCGATGTGCAGTGTTGCCAACCATGTGAAATATTATATGGAAAAATTTGACAGATAATCGAGACAAAAACAAAGGTTTTTGTTTTGATACATCACCTTAATATTATTACACATCATTATTATACATCACCTTATTATTGTTATTGCGTCATGGGTTAGCCCTTTATCTTTCCTTGTGGTTGTTGTATTTTCGATAAAACATAACTCGACGGATGGCTCGAAAAAAAATAAAGAATCAAACAACAGCATAATTTCCATTGATGAATATTTTCGTGAATGGCTGATGAATAAAAAACGTGAACGGTCGTACAAACAAACAGACAATTTTTGGACCAAACTGTCATCCAAAATTAATAGTATGTACACAGCTGTATTAAATTTACAGTCGCCAAAAAGATAGTCGATAAATTGAGTAGTCGAAAGTCGACTAGCGTATCCCGTTCTCAATTTTCAGAAACTAAAATAAAAATTGAACTTAACTTTTATAAAATCCGACTGAATGTCAGATATGTAAATATTATATGCTGCATAACTTTGATCGCCTGCAGCTTTCTCTTTCGCACATATATAGTTTTTCTGTCGGTAGATCTTCTAGAGATTCCTTTTTGTGAGCTATTCATCTGGTGTCCCTATCACAACTCGGGAGGAGCAACGATTTAGTAATCCCTTATGCTGTGGCTCCATAGCAAGGACCATTTTCAATAAATTAAAGGGGAGATTTGGTGAGGCATTTAGTCGCGCCCTTTTTGTCGTACGAGCTCCAATTGATTGGACATCGAGTCGATAACATGGCGGAACGTCCAAAAAACTTATTTGCAGGTAAGCTATTTGTAATTTGTAGTGTCAATAATGACTTCAAGTATGTTTCAATGAATTTAAGGACGTCCACGGGCACCACCTAATGAATTGAGCATAAATCCATTAGTACAACGTCACCCACCGTCCCTGTCATCGACATCTTCCGGATCGGCGTCATCAACGTCGGCAAGTAGTATGGTGGTCGGTGGATTGCCTGTTAGCATGCCTACTGAAAGAACAAGGGAAAGAATTAGACAGCAAGCTTGTGGCAAATTGCAGGTTGGCCCAAATGCCAATGATGTCTATCAGTTCACTTCTGAGGATCTGGAAGATTTGGGTGAAATAGGTCGCGGAGCATTTGGTGCCGTCAACAAGATGGTATTCAAAAAGAATGATATGGTTATGGCTGTGAAACGCATTCGCTCCACTGTGGACGAAAAAGAGCAAAAGCAACTTCTGATGGATCTCGAGGTGGTTATGAAATCCAATGACTGCAATTACATTGTTCAATTTTACGGAGCGCTTTTTAAAGAGGGAGACTGTTGGATATGCATGGAGCTAATGGATACATCATTGGATAAATTCTACAAATACATTTTTGAACACAAACATCAAAGGATTCCAGAGTCGATACTGGCTAAGATTACAGTGGCCACGGTACACGCTTTGAACTATCTGAAGGAAAACTTAAAAATTATTCATCGCGATGTTAAACCAAGCAATATTCTACTTCACAAAAGAGGTGATATAAAGTTATGCGACTTCGGCATTTCTGGTCAATTGGTAGATTCTATTGCCAAAACAAAGGACGCAGGATGCAGACCATACATGGCGGTAGGCTTATTGTTAATTTCCTTTTTTTTAAACCAGAAATGTAATGTATTACTGTATACTTCGTAGCCGGAAAGAATAGACCCTGAACGTGCGAGAGGTTATGACGTACGAAGTGATGTTTGGTCCTTAGGTATCACTTTAATGGAAGTTGCCACGGGCACTTTTCCATACCGAAAATGGGATTCCGTTTTTGAACAATTATGTCAAGTAAGTTCCAACGTTGTTTACAGGAAATATAATTGTTTTCTTACCTATATGTACCAAACCAGGTTGTCCAAGGGGATCCTCCACGTCTTTATCCTGGTCAAGAATTTTCAACAGAATTCGTGGAGTTTGTAAACACTTGGTATGTATTTAACAACAGCTTTTCTGATTTCTGGAAGATAATATTTATATTTATTTTATTTCACCAATTCGTTTAAAACAAAATTATAAATCAGTTGTATGCACTACGTTGTAATATACGTTACATAAGGGGAGAGTGTTTTCTTTCCAATTTGTACATAATTACCATGAATCCATAATTCATCATAGCTACTGTAAAACAGATTCATATAATTTCTTAATCCATATGTATACCACTACATATATAAGCAATTTCGTGAACTTCTCCGTCTCTGTATTGCATGTTACATCCTAACAATAGTGTAAGACAGATTAATTGAAAAGATTTCCCGATTCTGTTTACGCATTTTGTGACTATCAATGGCCTTTCGGCGTTGTTGCCAAATAGCGAAATAAATGAAAGCTATAAAATATACAGTCAAACAAGATTATAACGAACTATCACTTTGTACCCATTTTTCCTGCAAATCACTACGTTTATAACGTACTTTTTATAGTTTTTGTTACACACACAGTGAATTTTGACTTACATTTCAAAGTTTATAACGAACCAAGAAAATGCTGACAAAATTTTTTGTACGGCCGTATTACCCAAATACGTCGAATCCATTTCTCTTAGTGGATTAAGCAAATTCAAGGAAGATACTGAAACATAAATGGTCTGTTCCCGTACTGCAAGAATCTATTAACTTTTTACTATTTTCTTCGATATCATAAAGGAAAAATTTTTAACGTAGTAAAAAATAGTAGGTTCTTGTAGTACGGGAAAAGACCAAAAATTTATCTAAATATTTCTCATTATGTTCTGTCATAGTTGAATTTGTTCAACTTTTAAAATCCGTAAGTCGACTAGTGGAATTTAATGTATAAACAGTAACAAATAAATTGTCCGGTCCCATTGAGTACGTTATAACCGTGTTCAATTGCATATACAAATTTGTATCCGCATACTTATTGTATCAAATAGACGATATTGCCAAGCGAAATCTCAATTTCAAAATCGGTGAAAGCTTTTCTACATTCTAACATTAATTTACCGATTTTTCAGCCTAATAAAGAATGAAAGTGAACGTCCCAAATATGATCGTCTGCTTCAGATGCCTTTCATATTGCGTGGAGAACGCAGTAACACAGATGTAGCTGCCTATGTAACGGACATTTTAGAGGCCATGGAAAGTGATGGAATAACACAATTCACCACAAACCAACCTGCCGAAAGTTAATGGACAGATATATTTGCAATTGATCACAAATAACTCTCCTCATATTTTGAGAAGTAAGTTTAACGAACTAAGCAAACCAACCATCTCTTAGGAAACAAAACAGAAAAATTAACAAATACAAAATGCATCCACACAAACATTGTTGTCTACTTGGTAGAAGGTAAGATTCATGTTGGAAAATTTCGTAGTGTAGTTCTCTAATTGAAGAAATTAATAATACATATAATTAATTAAGCTAACAGTGAGAGAAAACACATAAAATGTAAATCACAAACTAGCTTAGGCTTTTAAAGGTCAGAAAGAAGCTTACCATTAAAAATTATTTGCCTTGTATTTTTTAATAATATGTAAAAAACCAATAAAATATGATTTTTAGTTGCATATTCTTAAAAAAGCGATATTATTAAATATTGCAAATAAATCATAACGCCAAGACACCAATTTCTATGCAAATAATAACCGAAACTTAAACAAAAGAAAAGCAAATAATATAAAACGGATAATAAAGTAATCCAATATTCTCTAAACTGCTGAGAATTACTTGCAATATTCTGAGCGCGGTCCTTAAAGAGAATTGAAATCGTACCGATTAATATAACGGAAACGGTTTGCCGGTTCCTTTGTCCATTATGCTAAGTCAAGGTGTGGAGTGGGTCGATCCTTTAGAATACAACTTAAGGTAAACAGAGTAAAACAAGAATAATAACACAATTCCCGCATGCGTCCAATTTTTAAATATTTTATAAAACACAAAAAAGAAACAAACAACAATAGTCGTAATATTACCACGGTTTGCCATTACTGATGTAAAAGCTTTTATATTTATAAATTAAGTGAAGAAAGTATTTGTTAAATTTATATTCGATCAATAAAAACATTCTGTAGCAATTTGTAGCGCACTTTAGATGAATATATATAAGAAAAGTCGACTAGTTATAAAAACAAGCGTAATAATAAACATAAAAACATACAAAAATATATAATTTTTATAAAAAAAATTACTACCCGCACACAATGGAAAGTGTGTCATCTGGCTCTGTCTATTATACAAACAAAAATTTAATATGTAAGTCACTACTAACAGTTCGTCCATGGCATTCTGAACAACTTTTATATCTATCAACACAGATACAGCAATTACATGATCATGTTTGCTTCTGATCGTGTGTAAATAATAAGAAATTTAGTAAACCATTGCCTGATTCTTTACTCAAAATCGGATGCAAACAGATACAGTCATACGTATTTCATTTTAAAATACTTACCTTATTAGAAGAAAACTTAAAATATAAATTAATAAATATTTGTTTCATTTTTTATTTGTGGATGTTTGGGAAATGAGAAAAATAATGAGGATATGATTATTTCTTAATTAACTAACACATATCGCTGGCATAACTCGTAAAGGTTGTAAATCAATTGTTTGTGGAACTAAAAATACAACGTACATCAACATAACAGGACGTTGTAGATGCAGTACTTGCTTGGGTGCTATCGCTGGAATAATCCATGCCATCACTTATGGATTCAACCACTCAGGCCCGCAGAGAGAAAGATCTGGGAATCAAAAAGAAGTCTTAAATGTCAACAAGAAAGTATTTCTTGGACACGTTCGTGATAGATGAGAAGTATATGTATACGTGGTTTCAAACGGTTTTAACTCCAAGTTCAAAGAAATGTGCTCATTGAAAAAGTATTTAAATCGTCGAGATTTGCATCAACTTTGGACTGCCCCAACTTTGCGTGTTAGGGTTGGATTTCCGGTAATTCGAACAAGTAAGGTGAAAAGTATTAGTGCGTAGATGTAACGGGTACGAAAACGTACTTAAAGTTTGTAAACACGACAATCTACGCATGGACGAATTGGCTGTAGCTGAAATCGTCAAATTTTGTACGAGACATTTGTCTGAATCTAGAATCTTAAAATTTCCAATGTCGGTTAGTATTGGTGCGTAGGTGTATGATAATGCGGGTTTTGTCGAAATGTTGTCGTACTAATTGATTTTTGTAAATTCATACTGTAATTATGTGAAGAGTTTTAAATTACAAATAAGTATCGAGTGACCGAATTGTACTTTAATCATAAACTTTGGGGGAACATAAACAGGGTTTTATGTTTATAACCATAAAACAAGGTAACCGATCACAAAATAGATTCAAACTCGGCTTAAATATTCGGTGTAGCCTAGAAACATTCCTCGATAATGTTTGATGATTGTTTTTGAGTTGAAAATTTAAATGAACATTTTATAATATTCCTAATAGTCATAGAATAACGATTATGCAGATTTTTATCATAGGGAAATCTAAGACTTAAATTTTTAGTCTCCTCCCTTTTCATTTATTAGCGAAATATTGAAGTTGGGTTAAAGTGATGTCTGAGAATTGACTACGATGTTGCCGACGCCAAGTAGAATAAGGGCAATTGTACTAAAATAACTGTATTTAGAATACAAAGAAAAACTTCGTTTTTCAAGTGACCAAAAATAGAACGTTGAGAGAAATAGAATTAGGAGAGGTATATATAGTATAACTGGAAAATTGTGAAATTTGTAATGCGAGTTGTTGTAAAGAGATGAGGTCAAGCAATGATTTTTAAACATACATTTCGACCACTTCATAAGAAATATTGAGCGGTCTCAGCCATAACTTTATGAATCGGTTACTGCTTAATGTACACACAATCCACAAGGACCCCAATTTGGTTAAGAAAACCAAATCCGTTTCGGTGAGACACATTTCTGGACGAAGTTATTTAGCCCTACGGTCATTAACCAAAAAAGTACACATAGATCAATAACCTGGTACATTTGTACCCATCTAAAATAGCGCTGTAATTTAAAAAATACGGATCTGCTCTTGATGTGGGAACTCAAAATGATATATATGGGCAATATTGCCAATTTTTTAACATAGCTGAAGCGGAGGTTCACCCCTTTATAACTCGGGAATATACGCAAACATGAATTTCTAAAAATCGATTATAAGATTATTGTAGTCGCGAATCTGCGTAATTTGATATGTATTTTGTGTATGTAGTATGCACAGCTTCAGAGTAATACTCATCCGATGGTGAAAATTTTGCGCGATCAAATTTCTAAAAAACCATTTTTTTGGGTCACATTTTTAGATCTGTCAACTGAATGATATGGGTACCCGCGATCAATAAGGTTTTTTACGTTTCGGATGATATAAAATCTTCTTCGTGAAAATCCATCTACTAGAACGGCGGGAACTGGATTTCCAAAAACACGAAATTTGGCAAAAAGTGTTTTAGAAAATATCGCGGATTTATTTGCGTTTTCTGTGGATCATTTCCGCTTCTATAAATGACCTCATACGGATGTACCCAATTTATCTCAAAAATAGTGTGAGCTGGCACATCCATGGTTCTTTATGGACCACATTGAAATCGGTATAGATCGATGTATTTTTTTAGGGTGCACACCGAAATCGGATGCGCGTTAATGTCATATGGAGTTTTCGGAAATTATTCGCGTTTTACGAGTTTTTGGGCACTTCAATGCAACATGTAGCACATCTTAGCCGTCAAATTAAATTTCGCAAAATATTCATGTATTGAAAGACAAACTTCAGTACTTCATGGAAACCGCATGCACATCAACTGATTTTGAGGATTACGCGATTTAGACGCAATTTAAAATGTATATTTCGTAATATAGTTTTATTTTAAGATTTATACCTACTTATAGAACCCCAACATTTATCGGAAGGGCCTTGCTATAATCCGCTTAACGATAATAACAATCCGCACTAAAGTTAATTTTTATGATAACCCCTACAAAAAAGAACAGTATCATCAATGAAATAATGAGCAGCTTAAGTATTGCCAAAAATACACAAAACCTAACTGAATATATTATATTTTTCTTGTAATCCTAGCCGAAAGCTATAACGGAATTACTATGAATGTTTTATATAGATTATAATTTAAATATTAATTTCAATATATGATATACCTTGTCAAAACATTAACTTATATTGAAAAATGTTAGTCAGAAAATATGGCATCTTTTAATGAGACATTTTAGAAATAGGGTTTAACTATTGACAGGCATCTTAACTTTGAAGATCATATTAACTCTTTAATATCAAAGATTAATTTTGTTCTGAGAAAACTATATAATGTGGAATTGAATTTGCCTCTTAGTATTAGATTAAAGATTGCACATGCGCTTATAATGCCAATTTTAATTTATTGTGTGGAAATATATTCAGGAACCATCGGGACATTTATGAAGAAAATACGCCTTGTTTTTAATAGAGTGATAAGATACATATATGGTTTGAATATCAGACAACATGTTTCAAATTATGTAATACAATTTTTGGGTTGCAATTTTAATCAATTTATAAATCTACAATTATAATTCATTTTTATAAGATTATTAAAATACAGTGTCCACAATTTCTTGTGAATTTTTTTAATTTCTCTAGGTCCACAAGAAATCCCCAACTTATTTTTCCACAATTAACTCCAATTTTGGAACGTTCATATTGCACTAGGGTTCTAGGGTATATAATTCATTACCACTTTTTTTGTTTACGTTCAAAAGACTTTTATTTTCTGACGGAAAAAATAAAAATCACAATAAACTTTTATCTTCAATCGCTTGAATAAAAGGCTACAATTAAGCCTTTTTTTTTTCCGGTTTTAGCCATATATTAAATATATTAATTAAATTCAATATTGTATTGATTTTAATAAAAAATAATAATAATAATTTCCTTCTAAATCTATCCTTTATTTTTTGGCCATTTTAAAAATTTTCATACAATTTATTTTGTTTATTTTTGACGGAAAAAATAAAAATAAATTTTTAACAGTTAAAAATTTTACTTTATTTTTTCCGTAAAAAATCAATTCAGAGTTTTTTATTTCTTATTCAAATGATTTTTATAAGTCCGTTACGGTCCCTGGCTTTTAATGAATATTTATGGAGCTTGTTTTAAATATATTTTTAATTTAAATATTTATTTCAATATATGATATACTTTTTGGCT